TAGCTGCTAAGATCTACTGAGGCTCTGTCGGCACAGCCTGTGGCCCTCCCTGGAAAAGGCTGGAGCATCGGAAAAGTAGACAGTCATGGAAAGAAAACTGCAGAACTAGTTTGAAAGCCTAACAGCAGTGCTATCCAGTGAGTCTCAGGTCAAACCATACAGGCCCAATCTAGAAGGAAATTTGGTTTAGTTATTCTGTTTTCCTCATTCACAGAAACAGGAAGCATTAAACCACCCCAAAATGGACTTGCAAGACATGGGTCAGAATAAAATAAAAATCTATTTTCTTGGCTAATGGCCACATCATGTCTCCTTGTTTCTGTTTTCTCTTGAGATCAGTGAGAATGAATCTTGATGTGTTGAAAAGCTCATTGTGTTAAAAATATGGCCTTACTGTACATCTCCTAATGCCTTAGTGCTCATGTTCTGGCTTTGGCTACTCCCAGACAGTCCAAATAAATCAGTGGGACTCAACCAGGGAGGGAGAGCCTGAATTTACCTTATCAAGTTCTTCCAGAAAGGCCTCTACTTTATTTTTCATTCTGTAAAGCACGTGAATGCCTGTGCTTTGGCCACATTCAATTGGATATTTTCTCTAGGAGAAACAAAGCTCTTCCAGGTAGTGGTTATTGAGTGTATTTGGACTAGTCACATATATATACAATTAATATTCCTCAGCAGCAGTGAGAAAACAGATGTCAGCTCTACCTAGAATCCACCCAATATTCATATTGCCTCTTTAGCTAAATGTAATTTACACTTGAACAAATATTGTACAGCGTGAGAATATTTTGAACAGTAAAACTGCAAATGAAAGGGTAAAAATCTTGTATTCCTTTGTAAGATCATAAATGAAACACATAATACATAATGGTGTGTTGCTGATGTAACTTCTTTGGGTTTTTTTGGTTCAAGTAAACATGGTATTTGTGAATAATGCAGCAGAGGTGAATGCATATACTTCATTGTTTTAACATATATCATTATGTATATAGTGCTGATTAAAAAAAGAATAGGCATTTCCACTAAAACTATCCAGTGTTTTTGCAGTGTGGTTGTAAAAACACAAGTCTGTGACGTGAATATTTTCTCCAAAGTATACTTTATCCTCAGGGATAGGAAAGAAACTGGAAATAAACTCTCTCATGGTGTTGTTAATAAGTTTAACAGTGGGTTTATTGCATGAAAAATTATCTGAAGACAATACAAACAAATTTTGTTTTCTGAAAATAGTTCATATCCTTACACTCAAATTCTGAGACAATGTGTAAGACAAAGTATGGTGTGGTAATAAAATGAAAGAAGTGCTCGAAGAGTTGGAAAATATTTTTTTTTTCTCTGTAAAAGAAAGTATTCTCTTGAGAATTGAAGTATTTTCTCATGAGTAAAGAAAGCTATTTTCAAAAGAGTAATAGTCATATTACTGATTCTGAAGAAAATGTCCTTCTGCCAGCCATAGCATTATCTCAGTGGGGCTTTGCACTAGAAAAATGTCATTAGCTACAACACCAGGCACCACAAGAACAAGACACGCCATGTTTTGGAGGACAGGAATTTAATACTCATGATGTCCTTCCTTGCACAGAGGAAATGGCAGTGTTTGAACTTGATGATATTTTCAACATTGGAAAATGACAGAGGTCATGATGAGCTGTAATTCTTGCAAGAAGTAAGTGGTGATATTTGGCACTGAATTTTCACCAGAAAAGATAAAAAAGCACATACAGAATGTGGAAAAAATTTGAAATTAATAAAATTAGGCCAAAATTTTGAGAGTGTGAGATTAAAAGCATCTGAGGAAAACACCTGGGGTGTATGGCTAACGTAGTACCAAGGTGGCAGTGAACTTAGCTCAACCCTTCACAGTTATCAGGGAGGTGCTGCTCTGCCCTGAATGGAACTGTTGCTTGTAGCACCTTAGTTTTACTCAGTGAATATGGTATTAATCTGAGCTGCAAGGTGGCCCACTTTTCATTCTGTTTATTCTAATATTCCAAGGGAGGAACTTCCTGAGTTTGTGAATCTGAAATGCTGGGAGTATGTCTGAACGATCAAAAGAGACTGAATTGTCTCCCTCCAGTGAATTATCCTTTCCAGAGAACCACAGTGGCTGCAAGCCTTGCTCATTTTAGATGCAGGCTCAGGCATGTTTACATATTTCCTCAGTCTTTTAAAATTGGCTTTATTTTCTCTTGCAAAAAATGCATTAGAATCATTGTACCTTAATTTAAATAAGGCTCATGAGGCTGTTAGCTATAGAAAAAAAATTGTTTTTTTCTTAATGAAGATATGAAAATGTAACATCTCACTTTCTATTCAAGTTAAATATAGAAATTAGAAAATCTGATCAATTGTTGTGGCTATGATTTTTAACCACTTATTTAGCTTCCTAGTAATCCATCTTGAACTCCATGTTCTAGTGTCTCATTTAATAATTTCATTTGTATGGAAGTCCAATTTACAAATAATCTAATTAAAAAATTAAGTTGCTCTAGTCATTCAGAGCAATAAACCCAGGAAAGAGGGAAGTGCAGAGAAATAGAAGTTATGTGGGCAATAAAAAAATATCCTTTACATAGCTACAGATAAATGCTTAATCTTAGTTTTGCAAAAACAAAATCATTCTTCAAACTGATGTATTTCAAAACATGTCAGATTTCAGAATATAACATAGTCAAGTATTACTGAAATGTGACTTGACTGAAATTGAGATAATTACAGACTGTTTCAACAATTTCTCACTTGTTTTGGCAACTGGACTCAGCTGAATGACTGCAAGGTAAAGAACAAATTCAAAATAAGCTTTTTTTAAGGAACGTGCTTGTCAAAACTTTAGCAAAATAAGCAGAAACATAAGAAAGTTTGAAAACAGAAGAGTGACACAAAAAGCACCAGCATGCTGTGCAGAACTTTTGGATTATTTTCCATATCAAAGAAATTAATGATATTAACATGTTGTCTAGGATATTTTCTACACTGTGTTAAATTCCTACCTAAATTAAGGGTCATCTTAGACGGCCCAGTCATGCGCTTGGAGGGATGACTGTGGGAACAGGATTTAGGTGGATGTAAGTTTGTGTGGAAGGGGGTTTTGCTAAACGGATTATCTTGGTCATCAGACCAGTACGGGCCAGCAAGGACTGCAAGAGAGTGCCCCAGTGTAAAACCCCTGAGCAGAGAGCCCAGCTGCAGGCTGCTGACACACAATCCTGCTTCTCACGCATCTGGGCAGCCCCAACTCTCACAGGATTCAGCTCAAATTTTTTCCCCAATTTTCAGTGTCCTAGCAGGTTATAAATCCTTTCCAAGGTTATGCATTTTTATTTCAGTATCCAAATTCTAAAGCTGCTGTATTCACCACCTTTGTTTCCTGCAGAGCAAAGTCTGCTGCTCTCAGCTCTGTCAGCTCTGGGCTTGATTTGTCTCCGGAATTACCAGGAAGGTGGTTGCTATGCTGCACTAATGAAAGGAGCAACCATGTTTCCTTGAAGGCAGTATAAGCAAGCATAAATAAACAAATTCTTTGTAGTGTTAACAGTGTAAATGAGGTATTATTGCAACAGAGAAAGTAAGATATTAACCCGTTTTAGAGGCTTGATAGCTATCAAACTTTCAACTTTCTATGCAAAGCTTAGCTTGAGATGGATAACTTTTTTGGCAAATATTTATATTATGAGTTTTATAGAATTTTCTCCTCCATCTTGATGTGTCACATTTTTGTTGTGTTTGTTCTTGTTACCATATTTTTGGGTGGACTTGGGCCAGGCTGCCCAGAGAGGCTGTGGCTGCCCCATCCCTGGAGTGCTCAAGGCCAGGTTGGATGGGGCTTTAAGAAGCTGGTCTAGGGAAAAGTGGCCCTGCCCATGGCAGGAGGGTTGGAGTGAGATAATCTTTAAGGCCCCTTCCAACCCAGACCATTGTATGGTTCTATGATTTTTCCAGTGATGGTCTGTCTCCACAATTTTGCTGGTTACTGTTACATCAATGACAGGTGCATAGATGAAGGTCCATGGCCAAAGCCAGGAATATAAGTTTTAATTTTAAAAAATGTTGTTATGTTGCACTGAACCTTGTCATCTCTGGTTCACTGAATTTAGCTCTAAGTGTGATTTTTTCTGAGAAGTAACCATAAAAACTGTATCACACTTTGTCGTGTTTGTATTTCAGTGACTTTGCATCAGTTTTGTTCAGGATGGTGGAATTTTTTTAAAACCACCAGATATACCAATGAAGATTTGAAGGTCATGCTGTGTTGAAACTCATGTAACACCAATAAAAATGGCATTTCTGAGAAATGAAATCTCATTCTCCCTACCAGCAAAGCACTTCAGTGTCTAGAGCAGGCTGTGCTGTCAGATTTTCCTGAAGTGCAAGTAAATCCATTCCACTTCCAACCTAAAATGCAATCTCTCAAAACAAACTTATGCTAAAATTATGAAATAGTCTTACAATATTAGCATTATGTATTGCATTATGGTGGAAAACTTTGGTGATCATACTACCTCATCATGGGACAATCTTCCATCACTGTAACAAAGTACGGGAATTATCTTGAAGAGTGACTACTGTAAAAATACTAACCATATGTTATTACATATCTGTAGGTAGAGGGTGTTACTTACTTGAATTATTCAGTGTCCTTTTAGTACATCTCAATATTTCCGGAAAATGCCGAGCAGTTTTTGCTAGGGGCTGCAAAATGCTAACTTTTTTCTTGTTACTTGGTTAGGACAGAGATATATTTCGTTTTGGAGATACTGGGCACTGAAGACATTGATCTAGGATGAATTGAGGAACAAAATGAATGCAGTATATTTTAAAGCAAACTTCTTCTTTGCTAGCTATTAAGTATATTTGGTGTTTTAAGAGGAAAAATGAAATACCACATTGTAAAAAGGTACTAGTTGGACACACTGTAATTTCTTTTCTTATCTGATTTCTGATTCTGACTTAGCACACTACAAACTATTTTTCTTTTCTTCTCTTCCTTTATTTTGCAGTTAACTTTGACCACTTTCAAATATTGCGGGCTATTGGGAAAGGGAGTTTTGGAAAGGTAAGAATCAACTTATTTTTAGCAGCTTAATGTCTAATAGGGAATACCTTTGTGTTTTTCTGGCTTGATTATGGTGAAAGAATATAGATTTTGTAACCTTTTTCTTAAGGATATCTGAGCACCAGTATGAACTGTCTCTTCATTAAATTATTTCTATTATAATCTATTAACTAAAATTAATTGAGCAATAATTATTATAATAATTAATTATCCCAAATGGAGATTAGCAGAACTTAGAAATCTGTCCTAGAAAAAAAAATAAACGAAAAGGTAGGAGCAGACTACGTCTTTAGACAGTCCACCAAAGTGATCTTGTTCTTAAATCTCTGAGCTTATTTGTGTCTTTAAAATAATTGCAGTATTTTAAAGGCATTTTACATAGAATAAATCCTTTTGGGACTGTATAAACTGACATACAATATAATTATGATCACTGAGTAAATGTTTGTTCAATTCAACAGGATTTTTCTGAAACAGAGAAGATTAATGGTTTGTTTACACTTGAGCAGACAACATTTCTTTCCTGCAAATAGTGATTATAACAAGGTTTAAAATCTACAATATAAAACCACAAGCCACATATAACACAAATACAAAGCCACAAAGTCAGAGAAAATACTATTTAAAAATATTGAAACCACTTCTCACAGGACTACATCTGAAGGTGAAATATAAGTGATACTTGATCAGGTGACTGATCAAAAAACAGCTGTCTGGCTCTTGATTTCAATGATTCCTGAGTATATGGCAGCTCAGTGCTGGGAGGCACTTCTGTAGCCATGCATTAAGAACACACAAAGGATTTTGCTGGTTCTTGGCCTCCATGCAGAACAATGACTTTAATTTTAGAGAGGCCAGAAATACTTCTTGCAGAACAGCATGGTCCTTCATGGCACAGTCCTTATTCAATTCAGTAGTTTTCAGCAGAAACCCTCTTTGAGGTCAATAAGAGTATATCCTATTTGGGCAAAAAAGTACTTAAAAACCCCTTAAAATCAGGGCAGCAGAAATCTGTGGTTGTTTATTATCACAATACAGAGGTGGAATATCATGTAAAACTAAATTAAGGTCCAAGAGTGCAACTTAGGTACAGGAAAAAAAGTTAAAGACGTATCCAAATCATGTTGACCCTCACAGAGGAATAGCTACTTAGATCAGAGTTCAGCATTTTTGGCTTCAGATTCCCTCTTTCTGAATTCACTTGGCAAATTTTTAATATACAAACAAAACTTGTTTCATCAGAATTTCTAACCTGCCCCCTTTCAATATACTTGGAATTATTAGTAACTGGAATATGCTAAACATAACTAATGTAAAGGTCTTCCACAGACAAACCAACAAACAAACAAACAATTTCCTGGATTTATGAAGACCAAAGCACAAGCAAAGAGCTTCCTTCACCTTGGCAAAGCAAGGTCACTGAAGGCAGAAAGGCTCCTTTCAGGGTAGTGCCCTGCACCTTGCTTGGGCACCACTGATCCCTGCCCTGTCTGTGCCTCCGTGGGTGTGCAGCAGACAATACACAGGTCTGTGCCAGTGTCTGTCTGCCCAGACAACACCTCAGGTGTTATCCCAGGGGCATTATCTGGGCACCTGCGTGTGCCCACAGTGTGGGAACTGCTCCATGAGCGGCCACACGCATTCTGCCACAGCTTGCCCGTCGCTTGGCTTGACCAAAAGAGCAGCCGGCTTACACAGAAGCTGTGGCTGAGACGGTGCTAGCAGGCTCACACCTCACCTCCTGTATCTGTCCCCAAACACCTGACAGGGTGCAACCTGAGCTCTCAAAGGACACCTTTGAAGTGAGCCTGGCTTTTTCAGAAAAAAAAAGAGCATGCTTGGGGTTACTCTACCTACCCTCCTCAAAACTGCTGTGGTGTATCTTTCCCTGAAAAATATGCAACAGTTTATAGGAGATGGCTCCTGCTCTTAAGGTGTCCCTAGGAAGAGTTGGGTACAGAGGCAGCCGCTGAAAGCAGGTGGCCACTTGTCAGAAAAGACAAGAACTTGAGATACAAAGTATTTGGTACCAAACGGCCTAGGAGTTCCTGCGACAGCAAATGTTGTGACTGTGAACTGAAAATGCCAGAGGCAAGGCAGGGAGCTGATTCCTGAAGCCAGCTGGGGGGACAGGTGCCAGCTGCCAGCCCCAGTGGAGGAGCTGAGGTGCTGAGCATCACCTTGGGCTCTGTGCACGAGAGCGAGCTGAGCAGCACAGGGGCTCTGCCACGCCAGATACCTCCTGCAGCAATATCCTGCACAGGCCTACGGTTGCTGTGGCAACCAGAGTAATTTAAGAAATATTGAGAGAGAGAGACAGAGATATTGTACCAAGAGCGATAAAACAAAAAAAATAGAGCAGGTCTTAAAACATCCTATTGCTCTCAGAAAACAGAAAAGGCCACAGAGGAGCCATAAAGGAAGCAGGCAGTTTAAGAAAGCGTGGTACTGAACATGGTGTTACGCTCTGCAAGATGCTAGAGCACAGCAGACCCCGAGCAGTAAACACCCTGCAATAGAGATTAACAGTCTTGCATCCTTTTTTGACGTTTTCTGCTGCCAGGTACTTCCAGAAGGACAATAATAGGAAAAGTTGCCAGCAATGAGGTTTGTAAATGAACAATAAAGGCAAGACTGACTCACAGAGACAGACATTTGAAATGGTGACAGATTTACCATGTTTTGCTTTTGGCTATGTTATAATAGGTCATTTTAAAATGGGTTTCATTCTTTCCCTTGCCCATGGAAGGAAAAACAAGGTGATTTGTCAGAAGCCCGTACTCATCTGGGAAAAAGAAACCTGTTACACCACGGTCTTTCCTGTTGCAGTTGACAACTGCAAAATAAGGATTTAAGTTTAGAGGGAACTCATACTTTAAACATTTTCTCTGAGGATCATGCAACTCTATTTTCACCAATACAGATTCCCCAAAGCGGGTTCACAAGAACCACACTTATATAAACCTGTAAAAAATTAGATATTTCTATAGAAATATAGAAACATTCACCAGTTTCCTGAGTGCTGTGGAGAAGAGTGAACCAAAATCAACCAAGCCTTCATAAAGTAGGCTTGTTTTATTTTCCTGTATGGTGTGAAAGGGTGAGGGCTCCTTTGCAAGGGCGGAGACAGTAGAAACAGGACTTCTGTTAGACGTGCTGTCTCCTGCTTCATCTGGCTATTTTTTTTTTTCAATATTGTTATGTGTAGAGCTATCACTCTTTTCAAACAAAATATTGCAAAAATTTATATATTTGAAGATCATCCAATAAGTACAAAACTAACGAGGATTGAAATGCAAGAATTCTCATTGTCCTTTACTACAATAATAACCACATAATTGCAGGGTTACTGCTGCAAAATAATTTGTATTCAGGTGTAACAACTAGTTCTCAGAGATATTATAGTACCAATTTTCTCTGACTTCTCTGTTCGTAGGAGTAGTTATATTAAACAATCTAACATCCTTAAATTGAATTCAAATTATAATTTCAAGGTACCAACTCTCTCCTGTTTGCCTAAGGTGCTGCGACACAAGACCTAGTTCTGATTCATTTGGTTGAATAAAACAGTGACTTTCTGTGATGAAGTAAAATTGAAATTACAGTCGTGTAAACCATATGGGAGCCCAGAATCATGTCTGCACTGACTGAGGGTAAATAGTATGCAAAATACTTCAGAAAAAAATATGCTTCTGTCCTAAAAGCAACATAACACACAACTGCAGAATATTAATATTTTTTGACAGTATTATGACCTGGTTTTTAGCTTGAGTTAATATGAAAGGATACTAAGCAGATGCTTTGGCTGCTCCAGATGTCATGCTTTGCTCAGGGGAATCTGGGAATGAATCTCCCTATTTAAAGGAAATCCCCTGGCAGCCTAAAGACATCCATTCTCCAGCTTCTTTGAGTAAATCTTGCCAGCTCTGCTTGTAGGCTAAGACTATGAGAACGTGTTTTTCAGAGCACTTGGGTAGCACAGACCAGGGAGTAGTATTTGGGTAGGACAGACAAGGGAGCAGTATTTCAGGCAGATGCTCAGCAGCAGGTTCATCAATTCCCATCTGGAGTGTATCTGATTTCTGCCTTGTAGCCCTCTGTGCTGGGTGAGAGCTTCTGCCCGTGCAGTGCCACAGCCCCTCTGCTGGGCTGGGACTCCTCACGGCTGCCCCATCCCATCTGCTGCTGTGAGATGCCAAATACCATACAGGAGCACGGGGGAGTGAGCACCCCAGCTTCCAGCTCTCCACCTACACTGGCCTCATGCAGAGGTTTTATGGCTGTGGGTTTGCCTCTCTCCTCTTTTATCACCTGTTGTGAAACCACATCTTGTGGCAGTCTGAGAAGTCTAAGTACTCCTGTGCTAAATTTAGACCAAAATTGACACTAAGTGCACCTTGTTCTTTCCACACCATGCACGTAGCAGCTGTAAGTCTCTTCTAGTGGGAAATAGGAAAAATCTGTGTTTTGCAGCAGGTCTGATACTTCAGCCATCATCATCTTTTGCTCTGGGAAGAACTTTGTTGAAGCTACCCGTGGGTGCTCTCTGCCAACACAGCATTATGAAGCTTCCTTCAGCCATCTTCTCCATTTTTTGCATGTGAAATCAGAGGAAATCCAAGAAAGTAGTTTAGAAGTGGGCCTCAGCACATGTTGCTCTTGAAAAATGAAGTTTAGCCCTGCAGCCATAATCTATTGGCTTCCTCCCACAAATTCTGAGAGAAAGTGGCCTCAAGTCACTCTCTGGTCAAATTTCTTCTAACCTGACAGGTTTTAAGGCTGTTACCTTCTACCAGAAATAACAAAAGACACCACCCTGTGATAACAACTAAGATAAGTAAAAAAAAAAAACAAAACACCTTTAGAAAGGGAATATTTTCACAAGAGATTTTTAAAAATAGCACTATACCAGAGTATAAAAAAATAGCACATTCCAGAGAAAATTAATGGGGTTCATAATGCCTGCCTTTAAACATGTACAACACAGATGCCTATATCCAAAATGGCAATCTACAGACTCTTTAGGGGACATTAGAGGGAAACTATTCCGGGTACAGAGATAGTCCCCTGTACCTCTTTAAATATGTATCTTATGGAGATGGCTGCTCTCCTTCTCTACGGACTATGGAGCTGGATAGTTGTTGAGTTCAGAACACGTATTTGCTCTGAATCATCACACTGTCTGGCCTTTGGTAAATGATATTCACAGAAAAATGGAGAGTGTGAGTGTGACAGGCTTCCATACTGATACATGTAAATAAGGCAATTCTGTACAGACTTTCATCATAATGAGTCATCACAGAATTTTTTTGTTGTGGTTCCAGAGCACCTGTTTACCTATTTTAAAATTGCTCCTTTGCAACAAAAAACCCCCCAACTTAAACGTTTCTCATTAAAACTGCATATGTGAGAAGGGCTCAAGGGCTTTTCCTTTCTTTCTTGCTTTAGTGGAAAGTTGCAATCCACTGATGTCCTGCTCAGGAGAAGAGCTGACAGCCAGCAGGTAGAAGTGCCAGGGAAGATCTCCAATACAATCCAGTGCTGTCATAGCAATGTCAGGAATTTTTCACAATAACATCAACATGGCTGCAGGTTGTGTTTCCTGATTTTTAGTAGGAAGTAGCTTCATTATATTCATTAAAATCCTATTGATTTTGTAACCATGTTAAAGGATTTGCATAGGTACACATTGCTAGAAAATGTTTACTGTCATTCTGCTTTGAAGCTGTGTGTTAGGCAAGCTTCTACCAACAACAGAAGGTCTGTTTCAGCTGTGCTGAGCACCCTTGTCTTTACTGCCAGGTAAGAGAGCCGAGTGCCTTCTGGAGTCCCAGCAGCATTGCAAAACTGGTTTACATTACATATTTCGGTGCTGCATGTGATCTTGATTTGCCACATTGGTCAAACCTGTAATTCTCAGCTGAGTAAAATCCCATTCTCTCAGCAGTCTCTCCAGTCAACCCTTCAATAGGGAGGCTTTTAATGTAATGGACTAGGAGGCTTCTGAAAACACCTAACTCTTGGCCAAGTTGTACATGAAAATCATGACGCAAATTAATGTACATGGCTGAATTTCTGGACTTAGGTTCTAAGCTAAAATCTCCAAATTTTGCGCTTTATAATGTGACTTGCTAAAGTGGATTCTCCACATATTCTAAGAGAGGATGTCAGGATTTGCCCCTGAAAATTCTGCTTATGCTTTTGAAGGACCTGTGGGAGCTTGAACAATTCATTTTCATCCCTACTTTTCCCACTCAGTTTCAGCTCAATCCCACTTGCTACTTTTTCTTCCTGCAAAAGGCCAAACACAATTCCCCATTGTTCCACAGCCAGGGTTCTTTCTGTACAAATGTGGACCTTTAGTTATCTTAAGAGCATCAACAATTTTCAGATCTTTCATAACAGTCCAAGGTGAAAAATAAAACTTCAGTACTCACCATTGTGCAACATTGATGGGCTCAAAACAGAATGTTGCCATCCCTGTTTTCCTTAATAGCAGAACATCTCCTGATACTGGGAAAGGTAATTAGAAACACTGCTTAATCATGCCTTATCATTATAGGTTAAAGGTGCTCTATTAAGTCCTCTTTTTGGAGTGGATTTGTGCTCAAGGACACACTTTATGAAAATAGAGTTTCAGAGAAGTAACCATGGGTTGACTTTACTGGCCCTGTTCCTCCCAGATTCAGCTGGGGGAAGTTACTCCTGATTGTTCCTAAATATTGGGTGCATAAGTTCCTTAAACTCAGACACAAAGGATTTCTTTTTGGCTGTCACTGGTTTGTAATCTGATCTCTTAACATGAATTCATGAGTGTATAGTATAATTTTTTGTGTGTAAAATATGGGAGCATGTATGTGTGCATGTATGTGTATGTATTTAAATACACAAATAAAAGAACAATGCCCACACCAGGTGAATCCAGAATATCTTTAAACATAGACACTGCAGGCCTGGGATACCTTAACCAGATATTTCCAGTACATTTAGAACAATTGAGTATTTCTCTGTTGCCAAAAATTGTACTTAACTGATGCTTGGTTGTGGTGCTTGTGCCAGTCTCCAGCTCCATTCTCAAAGTAAAATACCATGACAAAAGGAAATCCAGAATTCCTGTGGAAGTTCTCTTGACTAAGATTTTCCTCATTATTTGGCTTTTGCCAAAAAAAAAAAAAAAAAAAAAAAGAAAAAAGAAAAAAAAAAGATAAAGTAAAAGCAAAAGCATGGATGTTTACTGCCAGAGACTAAATCATTGTAATGGTCTCCTGTGAATTCAGAAATATTATGATGAATACCTGTATGAAAATTCTTTTCCTTTCAACAGTAATTAAGGGAGCATAAGTCTGATATTTAGATGAAATATTGTGTCTTGGGAACACAGGCAAGGTTTATGATGCAGTAATCAAGATGTGAGTATTGACTTGTGGGAATGAGGACAATGACTGAGCATTTTCCTAGGCAGGAGGCAGTAATTTCTCTGAATAATTAAATACCCTGTGATTTCAGCCATTACAGCATATTACTCTCAGCTTTACCATGTAAGTTCTGAAAGTTATGATATTTTTCTGGGTCCCCATTTTATCTTATACAGAGTTGGGTTTTTGTAAATTTTTAATTACAGTCTATTACAAAGAATCCTGCAGAGCTGTGAAGTGAATGTGTTACTCAGTTGCAATATCCAGATCTGAATTATTGAAATATCATTAAAGACTCCTTTTTTCCAAAGTCACGATTGAATTCACTTTCTCAAGGTGTCAAAATTTTTCTTTTACTTTGCTGCCAATTAGGTGTGCATTGTACAGAAGAGAGATACCAAGAAAATGTATGCCATGAAGTATATGAATAAACAGAAATGCATTGAGAGAGATGAAGTTCGCAATGTTTTCCGGGAGCTGCAGATAATGCAAGGCCTGGAACATCCCTTCCTAGTCAATCTATGGTAAGAAAATCATTAAAATGCTTTCATGGAGCTCTCATTTTCTCCTTGTTGCTGAATCAGTTCAGAATATGGAAGGCTGGAAAGCTGAAAAGAAAAAAAAGATTTTTGGTGACTTCCTTTGTTAAAGGTATTAGGTTTCACAGGGAGTTTTATTTTTCATTAATATTTTTAAGGTGTTTTTTTAATTTGAATGTCATATTCAAACATCATATTCATCTGTTCATTTCTGCTTTGGTTTCTCTCCAAATTGTTACAACACTGTGTTGAAATGTGTTGTCCTGTCCCATTTGTTTTTGACAATAGCTGGACTCAACCTCTCTAATAAAGCTGTGGAATATCAAATCCAACCATTATTATTTTTTTTTTTTAAAGTTGATTCAGAGAAAATTCAAAACTCAATTACTTTCTAAAAATTACTGTCACAGGACAGCAAAAAATGCTTTTTTGTCACCTGGAATTTTTCTTATCTTCTCCATGCTAGACCCTGAATCTTTTGGTCACACATGATTGTGAGAAAATGCTGATCAAGCAATAACTAGCTTCAACTACACCAGAAGATTAAAATATTTGCTGGCTCTTATGTAGTGTGGTAATGCTTGCTGGCTTTTGTAGTGATTGTAGTAATGAGATGCAGAGTTTTCTTCCTTATCTAATGACCTGTGTCATTCAGAAAATGAAACGGTGGAGGGGACATAAACCATTATAATATGAAAATTATTCATCCTGTGAATAGCTTGATTGGCTGCAGATGGTTACAATGCACACTGATCTTGTGTTTTGTGAGTTTTAGTTGTCTTACTTGAGGTCACTGCCCAACCTACAGTGTTCTGCCCATCCCTTAGCTCACTCCTGGTGCCAGGTTAGCACCTTTAACAAATTAAATCCAAGTTGTGTTCTGTCTTGAGTGAACACAGCTTTAGTATAATTGCACTCTAATATAAAGCATTTTAACCCAAAATTTATTCCAAATTGGGTCCAAAAGGACCTAATTATATACATATATATGTGCTCTTCACTTGATATGAATGATCTGAGCTAATATAATACCCTGTTGAAGGCTTTAAAAAATACATCATTGTGACTGCAATACAAAACTTTCCCAGTATATTTTCCAAGGTTCCAGCTAGCTGTAGTCTTGGTATTTCTCTATCAAAGATATGGTATATATCTTAGGAGCCTGTGGAGTTCTCTGTTAGGTGTTTGTCTACCTTTTTTGAAATCCCACAAAATTTTGTTCTTTATCAGGAGGTGTGGAAGTTTCCACTGTGTAACTAGACACTGCACAGAAACAGTCATAGGTTAATGTGATCTGAGAGATAAACATAGAAGTGCTGAAAGACTGAAGATCAAATATTTATTGTGAAACAAAAAGAATGCTAGATTCCCATTACTGAGTTATACTCAGATGATAAATATTCTTTTTCATTTTCTTTTTCCATGTCAAAGATTAAACTTGAAATAAGCAATACCTTAAATTGCACTGGGCATTATGATGCCTTTTATCCTTCCTGCACTTCTAAGATACCATCACAGGATATCAAGACTCAAATGTTATATTATATGTGTGTATGAGAAATGCAGAAAATGAAAGAGAATTACAGTACTCTAGAGTTACAAAATATTTCAGGCAAACAGGACACTATTCAAGGTGCTTCAGTGCACTAACAATGTTTTATATTTGCTGTCTCTAGCAATGGCTATATTTGACCAATCTGTCTACAAGTACTGGTCCTGACTGGTGACAGGACTAGAGGAAAAGTCATGAAGTTGTGTTAGAGGAGGTTTAGCCTGGATATCAGGGAAAGGTTCTTCATCCAGAGAGTGTTTGGGCACTGGAGCAGCTCCCCAGGGAAGGGGTCACAGCAGCAGCCTGACAGAGCTCAGGAAGCGTTTGGACAATGCTCCAGGCACGTGGTGTGACCCTTGGGGTGTCCTGTGCAGGACCAGGAGCTGCACTCGATGATCCTGGTGGGTCCCTTCCAACTCAGGGTGTTCAGCAGTTCTGTGGTTTTGTATGAGGCTCTACTGACATTCAGAGACTCAAAATAATACAATTGGAATTGTAGAAATTTTTCAAAAAAATACTTTCATTGACCCTTATTATTTTCACCTGAAGAGTTCACCTCAAACACTGCTCTGACTGCAGAGTGAGCTACTGAACTGCTGGAGAACCTGTATTTCACCCTGGGACAGCAAAGGGAAATCTTGAGCCTGAACCTTCCCAAAATTAACCTAGTCTACCCTGAATAACTCTTTCCTTGTATCAGGCTTAAAATATGTTTCTATAAAAAAAAATTAGCCTTGAACAATCCTAAATTAATTTAAATTAACTTGTGGTATATTTCTGGAGTGTCTACACTTGCAGGCTGCAGTAGAATTTTCCAGACCTCTGACTTCTCTGTCTCAAATTTCAGCTGAATTTCAAGATATTCTACTTGAAATTATCTTCAAATAATGAACCTTATCTTCAAATAATGAATTATTGTTATCTTCAAATAATGGATTATCTTCAAATAATTATCTTCAATATATTATCTTCAAATAATGAACTTTGTTATTGAACTGCAACAAAGGCAAGGAACAAAAATCATAAATGATCCATGAATAATGGTCACATCTGTTCAAGCCAGATGAAGCTTTTAAACATATTATGTTTCATTTATTTAATATTTGAAACTACATTTTTATTTCTACCATGGGAAAAGGAACACTGCAAGTATGAATAGAATAGTCATTAAATATGTTGTTCCCAGAAATAATTTCTTAAAATAACATTTTCATTGATTGTTGGTGAACTAGAACTCTGTTTAATGTATTTCTACTTGCAGTTTAGATGCAATAATAATTTGCATCAAATACATTTACACTGTAGTTATAACTTATATTGGATGATTGGCATTAATCCATGAGTTTTGCTCCTATGAGTCAATTCCTGACGCACTAATGGAAGGAAACAGTTGAATCTGCATTTCTTCTGTAGCAATTGCAGCTAGATTAGTTTCATTTTTCAGAGTTGGATTTTGCTGTTTTGTGATTGAACTGTAAATGCACAAAGGAACTGTAACAGGAACTACTAAGCCTGCATTTTTTCACAAACAGGAATATTAAGCTAACAGGGAGCAGTAATGTCATGGTGTAAGGGGAATAAGACCACTTCAGCTTGTTTAAATACCAATGTTCTTTTGGCCTAGTCTCTCCTTTCAGGCTCTGTCATACTCTCTTAGGGCTCATATCAGTTTTTGGAAATCTTGTCTAAGGTAAGATTTTGGTGACTAAAATCCTGAAATTAAAATATTTTTATTTTTCATAAAGCATCATTTTGTGTAAGAACAATTTCAATGTCCTATTTTTTTCATTGTGATGAATTGAAATTAAATCCTACATCTTTCAATTGAAAATGTCAAATCCTAAATCAATATTGAAAAGTATGTTTGGAGCAAATTCCATCATGATAAGCTTTTCATGATTTTGTGGTACTTTCCCTGGTGTGAACAGCTGATGTTCAAAAGTTTATCATCTGGATTTCAAAATAAAATTAAAATAGTAATAAATCTCCTAACAACTCCTTGAACATACTAATCAGTCTTTGAGAAATTACATTATCAAAAATAAAAGCTGGCAGTTTAAGAAACAAACATGAATACTGGAAAGTCCTTTAGTTTTTCATGATAACTGAAGAAAGTAATGAGATGTGTGTATACAATCCTTCATCAGTTAAATTCTTGCAGAGAGAACAAGAAGAGGGAAGAAAGTAAATGTTCTGTGGTGGGTGAATCTATCAGCAACCACAGCCTACACAAGAATACAGAGAAGCTCATACAAAACAAGGGTAGCATCTCAACTCTGAAAGATCTCTATTAAGCCTTTTGAGGCTCATACATCTTCTCTGAGCTTTATTAAATTTAACTTCACAGTCTCAACTTATAAATCACATTATTTGAAGTATGAACTGTCTTTCATAACATCTGACACAGAAGGAATCATTCTTCTGTAAATGCTCATAAAAGCTTGGAGGATAACAGTGTTTTTCAGGAAGGGTTTGGGGTTGATTTATAGGCTTCATTTTAGAAATGAAATTGAATAAATGCTTAAAGCCACTTTTATCACCTTTAGAGGAATTTCTGATAATAGAAATTCCTTCTTAAAATAAAATGCAGTCCTGTTTTTTATCACATTTTTTTTTTTTTTTTTTTTTTTTTTTGTCATGAGCATTTTAAGCACAGATGAATGGGCTGTAGAAATGTCAGCTGCCAACTCGGTCCCACCTTGAGTCTGTTCCTCCCTGATATTCAGCATTTTATCCGTGTTCATCCTTCCCCAGATATCTGAGTGTCCCTGTGCAAGAAGAGTGGTGTTTCTTTCATGTTTTAAATACGTTTCTTACAACATGCATTAGGACTGAGCCAAGAGCCAGGTTGCTTGACCCGTACCAGTGCAGGTAGATTTGGTATTATGTGCTTTGTCCTCAATCATGAAGAGATGTTTGAAGCATCCACTGGCTGCTCTGAAAACATGTCTTACCACAAAAGACAGATTTTTCCCACCCCACCAAAAACCCATGTATCAAAGTGGTTTCTGTGCTGATGAGGAACTGAAAAAAAATTGAAAAAAAATTGGACCATTTCTCAAAAGTTTCGAAACATTGAAGTATTCATATTTTTAATAGCCTTGCAAAAATTTTTTAAATTGCCAGAACATTTTGTAAAGCAACAGTGGGAGAATGATAACCATTTTCTTTTTTCAGCTTATAGGCAATTTTCCTAGTATAGACAAAATAGAATGATTTATTTAACAAGCCACGAAGTGTTAGCTGCATTCTCTGAGTGGCTATATACTGTGATGTATTTTTCTTTTCACTTACCAGTCTATGGAAACTGCATGTATTCCATGACAGACCCACAGAAGTACATTACTGTTGCCAGCTACAGTGAGACTAAGTTTCAAATCCAGTGAAAACTGAAGAACACACATTGCAGCAAAAAAAGTTCATGGATTTCTGA